ATTATATGTTTAGTGTTGCAAACTTGTATTTGGGATTGTAAACTTTAAATATTTTGTAATTATGTTTTAAATTGTATGGTTGTGTTGTTTATACACTATTRSTATGAGMCTCTMCCTGCCATACCCCGTGTTTCCGCTTTAGCAGGGTGTGACAAGAGCAAGGAATGGGGAAAGGGGAAAGGGGCATATGTTTCTCGTGACAAAAATGTTAGACCGATTAATTTTTTTATGAAGTATATGTATATATTGTGTATTATAATTGTGTGCTGTTGGTAATATTTTTATGATAATGAAATGCATACAGTGAGGCTATTTGTAGCCATTGACAACAAATGGAAAGGAGAAGATTATGGAGCTAAACTAAGCAAGTTACAACAAAAATATATTGACCAAAAATAGATTAAATTCAAATTATGAATTTGAATCTTTTGGATGATCCTTAATACGCCCCCGCAAGATGGAGGAGCCATTRGAGACTCCAATCTTGGACCGTAGATGAAGAAATGTAGAGCGGGGTAGTGGTTTGGTGAGAGCATCAGCAAGTTGATCCGTGGAGTTGATATGGAGCACTCGAAGAGAGCCATTGGTGACTTTTTTTTTTTAAAGTGGTAGTCCAAGGCGACATGTTTCTTCCTAGAGTGGTAAACCAGATTGGAACACAAGTATGTGGCTCCTGTATTGTCGCAATAGAGATTTGGAGAATTATCTGTGGCAATACCAAGTTCATGGAGTAGATTTTGTACCCAAGAGACTTCAGCAGACGTATTGGCAAGAGCCTTATATTCTGCCTCCGTAGAGGATCGGGATACAGACTTCTGTTTGGCAGATCGCCATGAGATAATGTTCCCCCCAAGATATAATAAGTATGTTGTAGTGGACCGACCAACAGTAGAAACGCCGCCCCAGTCGGAATCGGAGAAAGCTTTGAGATCAAGTGTCGTTGCCCGTTTCAAGAAGAGACCATGATGTATGGTGCCTTTTAAGTAGCGGAGAACTCTTTTTAATGCTTGCCAATGCATTTGAGAAGGAGCATGCATAAACTATGATAACTTATTAACCACAAATAAGACATCGGGTCTTGTATATACGAGATATTGGAGGGAGCCCACTAGTTTGTGATGCAGAGTCGGGTCAACCGGGGGAGAGCCATCCATTAGGGTGAGAAGAACTGATGAGGATAGTGGAGTGGCAACTTCTTTTTTACCTTCCATGTGAAAGTGGGTGAGAAGATCTTGAATGTGATGATGTTGAGAGTAGAAAAGCTGGAAACGGTGGAGATAACCTCTATGCCAAGGAAGTGATGTAATGGACCAAGGTCTTTGATAGAGAATCGTTGGGCAAGAGTGTGGACAAACTTGGTCAAGAAGGTAGGATTGTTACCGGTGAGGACGATATCATCAACATAAACCATGAAGTAGCATGTGACACCATCGTGATTATAAATGAAGAGAGACGCATCTGCCATAGATTTATGAAACCCAAAGGATATAAGAAAGGTGGAAAGCTCAGTGTACCAGGCACGAGGTGCTTGTTTAAGGCCATAGAGAGATTTTTTGAGTTTACAGATGTGGTTAGGAAATTGAGGGTGTATGTAACCGGGAGGTTGGAGCATAAACACCTCTTCATTCAAGGTGCCATGAAGAAACGCATTGTTCACATCGAGTTGACGAAAGTGACAAATATTTTGAGAGGGCAATGGAGAGAATGGTTCGAATAGTGACGGGCTTAGTGACTGGACAGAAGGTGTCAAAGTAGTCTTTGCCGTATTGTTGTTGGAAACCTTTAGCCACTAACCGAGCCTTGTATTTGGCAACAGAACCGTCTGCGTTGCATTTGACTCGAAACACCCATTTACAATTGATGGGAGTATGAGAGGACCATGGAACAAACTCCCAAGTGCCGTTATGAAGTAAGGCATTGAACTCCGAGTCCATTGCTTTGTGCCAATCTGGGTTTTTCATGGCTTAAGTGTAGGTGGTGGATTCAAGAGTGGTAGGAATCGGGTGTAGGGTGGATGTATTAATAAATGTGGAGTTAAAGTATTTAGAGTTCGGTTTTCGGTGTCTTGGTGGAAGCAGAGGTGAGGGATGAGAAGGGTGGGCATGTTGGTCTGGAGTGGGTGAGGAGGAAGTGAAGATGGCAGATTGGGGAATATGTTGGTTGGAAGTAGTAGCTTAGGAGGAAGTTAGGGTGGAGAGGGCAGGTGATGACTGGTTGGGTGATAAGGTTTCATTGGGGTCTAGCATTGAGGTGGTAGAAGATGGTGCATGTAGGGCTGCATGTGAAGTAGGCAAAAGTGGTTGGGCAACAATATGTGAACTTGGAATGGCAGTGGGAGGTACATGCATATGTGTCTGAGGTGGCATAGATGTTGCAAGAAAATTGTTAGCCGTAGGTAGAGGAGAGCTATGTAGGGTGTTTTGGTAGGGGAAAATGTGATTGAAAAACTCGACATGTCGGGAGTGATAGAGTCGATTATTTTTGGATCAAGGCATTTATAGGCTGATTTTGATGGGGAGTATCCGAGAAAGATGCATGGTGCAGATCGGGGTTGAAGTTTGGATTGTGTGTAGGGCCTAAGCCAAGGAAGCATAGGCATCCAAAAGACTTTAATTTGGAGTAATTGGGTGGTTGGTTGAACAAGAGTTCAAATGGACTCTGATGATCAAGGACCGGAGTGGGTAGTCTATTTATTAGGTAAACGGCAATTTGAAAAGCGTGTGTCCAAAAATGGACAGGCAGACCGGCATAGTGAAGGAGGGCTAGCCCGGTTTCAACAATATGGCGGTGGCGTCGTTCAACGGTTCCATTTTGTTCTGGTGTGTGGGGAGGGGTGGTATAGTGGGAAATGCCATTTGTTTGTAGAAAAGAGGTTAGGCCTTGGTATTCGCCACCATTGTCGGTGAATAGAGATACAAGTGGGGTGTCAAAATATTTTTCCACTAGTGATTTAAACTGTGGAAATAAGGTGGCAACATCCGATTTACGTTTTATTGGGTATAGCCAAACATACTTGGAGTAAAAGTCCACAAATATGACATAATATTTGAACTGGTCAATGGAAGTTTGAACGGGTCCCCACACATCTGAGTATACAAGTTGTAGTGGTTTATTCGCAACAAGTGAATTTTGACCAAATGGAAGTCTGTGACTTTTATTAATTGAACAAAACGCACAATGATCAGGAAAATTAGACATAGACTTTGAGGTAAGACCTAAATGTTTAATGATAGACACAAAGGTTTTTATTGATGGGTGGCAAGTTTATGGTGCCAATCTAGAAACGAAGTGTTGACGGTGTGGTTGATTTGGCGAGTGAACGGCAAGGTAGCATGGTAAACGTCATTAGTGTTCTCCCCCCGCAAGAGACGCGCCCCCGAGCGAATATCCTTCACAAAAAAGTGAGTTGGGAAATTCACAAGAAACTTGATTAGCCTTGCATAATTTAGCAACTGATATAAGGTTCCTTTTGAGATTAGGAACACATAGAACATTAGGCAAATTTAAAGTTTTGTATGCAATATGAATTTATTTTTGGCCAGTATGAGAGATTTTAAGGCTCTTACCATCACCAAGGACAATCTCATCAGGGCCTCCATATTCAGAGAGATTGTGAAGTGTCGCACGATTGGAGGTGACGTGGTTAGAGGCACCACTGTCAAAGAGCCAAGTTGGTGTAGGATTTGTGGAACCAGATGTAGTAACATTTGCAACAGGACTTGTACCTTGGGTATTCACTACTGAGATATTGTTTTCTTTGAGAAATTTTGAGAGCTTTCTGCAGTCCTTTGTCTGGTGACTAGAAATATTGCAGTAATGGCAAAAATATGCATTCCGATTAGAACGGGTTCTGCCTTGCTATGAAGAAAACCATTGAGGACGAGAGTTACGCTGCTAATTGTTGGGTGAGTACCTGTTGGTGCGTGGGGCCGTAGTCGAAATAGTAGGAGTGTGAGACTGAAATCGATTTGGCTGTCGATTGGTGTAATTGACGATGGTCAGCACAGGTTCGGGTGTCACCGAGGCAGCTTTCAGGGATCGCTCAAAGTCAAGGAGTTTATCAAATAACTTCGGATATGAGATCGGAGTCTCATGAACTTTGAGTGCAACAACAATTGTGGTGTATTCGTCACCGAGTTATGAGAGAATGTGAACAAGCAAATCTTCTTCAGCCACCGGGTTTTGGGCAAGGGCCAAATCGTCTGCAATTGATCTCATATCATGTAGATAGTCTGTGATGGATCGATTACCTTGTGGATTTTTGGCCAACTTATATTTGAGGGAGATAATACAGGATCGTGAGACACTCGCGTAACTCGAGTTGAGCCTTTCCCATGCTTCTTGGGTTGTGTCAGCAGAAGATATGATCGGCTGGATGGGGTCGGAGCAACTCCCTAATAGTGCACTGATTATTATCTGGTCTTATCTGAACCATAGAAGGTAGTCAGGATTAGGAGTTGTTTTCTCTTTATCGGTTATGACCTTTGATGGTGGTTGAAGGGTACCATCAAGATATTTGTAAAGATCAAGTCCAATCAAGGTTGATTGAACTTTCTTCCTCCATACATTGAAGTTTGAGGCTATAAGTTTAATAGGAAAATCATTAGGGGTTGTGAGTTGGATAATGGCTGAAGTAGGCTTAACCATGTGAGAGGAAGATGATGGGGTTGAGGATCAGAACTCGTTTGAGCGATTTAGCTTTGATATCATATAATGTTGTGTTGTTGGTAATATTTTTATGATAATGAAATGCATACAGTGAGGCTATTTGTAGCCATTTACAACAAATGGAAAGAAGAAGATTATAGAGCTAAACTAAGTTACAACAAAAATATATTGACCAAAAATATATTAAATTCAAATTATGAATTTGAATCTTTTGGATGATCCTTAATATGTATATATATATATATATATATATTTATATATATATATATACTAGTTGTGTACCCGCGCAATGCGGCGGGAGCTATGAATTTTAACGATTTTGAAGCTTCAATGGTTTTGTTAGAGGAGATTTTAACGATGATATAACTTACACTTGGTCATTACATATTAATACAATTTGAATAAATAAGAGTTATCGTTTCAATTACAGTCTATCAACGAAAAAAAATGTATGACAATTTAAAATCCAATATATTTAAACGACTCAACATGCGCTTTTCAATCTCTATAGTTAACCGTCTTGATATCGTTGCTTTAGGGGGAAAAACTATTTATCATACACCTTTCTTGAAGATATATGGCAAACTTTATTTATTCACAACCTTGATGCCTACCCATTTTGATTCATCATCATGAAAACTATCTTTTTACGCAAATATACAACCACCAGTACATTAAGGACACTTCACACCTAACAAAAATTCTAATGCGGCCATCGCAAACGATTTAATACACTATTAAACCTTCCTTTTACAACCATCAATATAGGGTGTCAATGCTAGGAAAATGGTACATTATTTGTCATTGTCAACTTAAACAATCCCAAGGTTAAACATTGATATGAATTCTTCTTTCAATGTCTTGACTTTATTTGACCATGATTAGAGAACAAAATATTCAGGTTGAATTCTCAACAAAAGAGAAACAAGATGGCCAAATTTGCATCAAGAGACTGAATCAAGTTATAATAGAAACATGAGCAATTAGTAGTTGTTTTGACAATGCAACCATTGCATGTATAGATTAAATAAGATGAAGCAGAACATCTCCATAGCTTGGTTACATAGCTAGTATTGCACCTCATTCACCGCCACGAGCTAACAGCCTCGATAGCTGGTCCAAAAATCTGATCCACTGATTTGTTCCAATAGTGTGCAAACTCGAATTTCTTTCTATGAATAGGCTCTTTCATCTGAGTTCAACATAAAAGCTTCAGCATTAATAAGTAAAACAACTTAATAGCAGTGGCTGAGAATGCTTTACATTCAACTTTTCCCAATAGCCATGTGTTTCTTATGTTCATGAACACATTTCAAGCTCATCTAGGCAGGAATCCACAACTGTGACATGTATGCCAAAGCATAAACCAGTGAAGACACCATCACAAATGAGAACAAAGGTAAACATTGATGTAAACCCCAACAATCATATGGTTTGGACTTTGGTTGTTAGGAAAAAGAAAACTTTAGAATGTAAGCAGGGACTTGCAGCTTTCATGTTTCTATCCAAGGTTCATGACCCTACAAAGTTTTAAGCTAGTTCAGTTGTCAGCTACTTGAAGATAATTCTCTCTTTCTAACCAGACTATATCATTTTCAGAGGGACATGCTTTTAAGCATAGTAGCATAAACTATCTGATGCTCATATACGATAAACTATCAGGGTAATGGGCTAGACATTATCAACCATACCACCTTGAAAGCTAAATAATGTCAATAACATAAAATAGAATGCAAACATAATCTTGATCAGAATACAATATAATCAAGTATATAAGCAAGAGAAACCTAGAGAAGCAGCTGTAATAAATGATAATCMCTAAGTTGTCCATGTAGAAAACATATGAGCAATAAGCCATTTTATTAGCATCACACAATCTCAGCAACCTCTGGTTCTATCTGCTATTATAAGAACAAGAGGAGAAACAACAGAAACTGCTTCATTACGACCGGTGATAAAAGGGCTCATACAGATATATATGTTTTCTTGGGCAGAATTCAATCAACTGCAACATCCCTTACTGCTTTGTTTGTCTTCTACAGTTCCAACACCAGGTCTGACAGGAAACATGAATAATGAGTTAGGCATAATATCTTAAGAGACCTCCTTACAGTCTCCTTGACCTTGCACACATTTTATAGTTCCATCAATTCAGACAGTATTCTGGAGCACATTGGTATGCAACTAAAAGCCCCAATGTTCTGCCATACTCATGTATGCTGAAGAATGCAGAACATAGTTGTATTGGATGTTTTTTATTTCTATAAAAAAGGTTTTGGTTGCCTTGGGAGTA